AAAAAAAAAAAAAAAAAAAAAAAAAAAAAAAAAACTAACAGACAAGTAAGGATGAAAACGTTCAACATTTTATGTTGCATTCTGCATATTGCGTCTCTTTTCCCACACTATAAGAACAAGTTAACTACCCTCAAATGTTGAATCATTTCCTCTATGTATGCCATTTCTAGCGGCCCAAGTTCATAGTCAAATATGACATGTACACTCAAATCTATACAACTACGATTGCTCTCTTGGCCTCTGCACCGCATGTGGATTAGAACTAGATAATAATAACATTGCATTGCAGTGACAAACACATATGTAATACTTACAAACTCGTTATACTATATGTCATGCATCATTTATTGAACCTGCATATTTCTTTAACTTTATTTAGAATTGTTAGGTAAATTTAGTTAACATAATTTGATGTCACTAATAGGAAATTCTCTGGAGAGTATCTAGATTCTACCTTGAGTTGCTCAAATATGGCAGTAAGCATTAACACAATTGTGAAGCACAGACTAGAAAATGAAGAAGAAGAAACATTAGTGTTTGCACACAAGTCTGAGCTTAAATTTTGTCCAGTGAATGTTAAAATCAAGACCCAGCAAAATTACACAATTTTTTTCATCAAAGGTTAGCAGAAACAACTAAACAAAGTAAATAAAGGAGAAAGAGTACTTACATCTTTTCGATATATTGCACCTTGGAAGTATAGCAAAGTTGGACGACTATCAAAAGTAGACGAGTCATTCACATAGGATTTGATTACATGCTTGTAGGGGGCAATGATGTCTTTCTCTACATTTGCTATGTTTGGAGGATACCTTCCAAAGTCCGAAAGTATGAATGTTGCAGGCCAAAGCTTCATCCTTCCGTCTAGAAGGCTATTTGGATGGTGAGCCACAATTAAGTGGTCTCTTCCCCCTGATATCTTCCATTCCTGTTGAGCTGTCACGTACTTAACCAATTTATCTTGCAGCAACTTGTTATTGCTCTTCTTTTGGTGTGGATTTATCTTGGAGAACCGGTTATAGCTTAAGGAAGAAAAGAATGGTATAAAAATAATGTCAGCTTCACTAGCATTCCGCACTCTTATTGCAGTACGTACATTTGGGGGATTGGGAAGTTCTGAAGCAAGGATGTCCAATGTCAGCCAATATTCTATACTGTGTTGCAAATTCAACCCACCAGGATAAGCAGGTACTTTAGTCTGAAGATCTGGCCAAACACTACCTCCTTGGGGTTTCCAATCTAAAAGTCCAAAATGAAATTCAGGGGGTAAATCATACATGAATACCTTGAGAGCTACTTTTCCATTGGTGTTACATTTCACACCATTGTTAGCTTGGGATGCTTCTTTGTCTTGGGACGAAATTGTTGGTTTTTCTTCTTCTTCGTTATGCACAAGGATTGATCGATTCCCAACTGAGGGTTCAACATCAGTTTGACTCTCACTTCCAGAAATACCATTATCAATCATAGCAAGAAGCTTGGAATTGGGTAATAATTTATGGTCAATAAAGTGAGGACTGCCCGTTGAACGCAACACAAAGAACCAAGATAATATGAAGAGTGTTGATGTAAGTATAAATAAACAGAACAAAGATTTCCGCGTATTAACCGCGAGAGATGAGGCATGCCTTTCAGCCATTGTAATTCCAATCCCGAAGTATCAACAACATGTTCTATGAATCATGATTATTAATGCCCAGCAAATTGAAAATCATGAAAACCAAAGAGAATTAAACTAAATGATCAATAAAACACATCAGAGAATAAGAAAATCTGTGATATTTAGCTGAAAGAATCCAACGCTGATCAGAATAGAGCCCACAGATCATTTGATACCACAACCACAACAACAGACATTGGTGACCAACAGATTCTAGTATAATGCAGAAACTTTCAACACCTCAACACCCAGGAGAGAAAAGAAACTCTAGATTGGGGTCTAATGCAAAAGAATAGATTGAAGATAGTGAACTAACCCATAAAAACAGATCTCATTATGCTCATACCACTATTTTCTCTCCCTGTCGCTACATTGACTATGATTTAAGCACCAAAAAACAAAGAAATACACAGAATCAGCTCAAAAAGAGGTGGAAACGAGAAAACCAAAAAAACCCAGATGAATTCAAATCCAATGTGATCAAACCCACCAAGAGAAAGAACCCAAAACCCAACCTAAGCACCAGAAAGAATAGAAAAACAGAGAGAAATGCAATGTGGGTGTTTGATTTGTTGAAGAAGAATATGGAGTGGATTCTTACCGTAGAGGAAAGGAAAGGAAACAACAAAACAGAAGTTGTTGGAGCAGTTGATGTTTTTTATTGATCAGAGGACAAATTTTGTCACTGAGAATTGAGTTTCGCTCAATTTTCTCAACTAAGCAAAGGACTAGGAAGCGTTGGAATAGGGTCTATCTGTGGAAGCGGGCTCTTGAGCTCTCCTGTTTTCTTTCCTTGGTCCTGAATAGTGACTTCTTGTTAGTTGTTGTTAATTAATTATATACGTGAAAACAATTATTTTTGCTACTTAATTTTAACTCAATCATGATTGTCCTAATTATGCTAACGTAGCAAACAACTATTTATCAGGCACAATATTATTTTGAGAAAGACTTCATGCAAGAGTGAATGTCATATTTTACCGACTAGTTATTATTCTAATGACAGTTGTCGCACTAATATTAAAAGAAGTCTCGAGTTATAATTCCCTCTTTTATTAGTAAAAAATTAAAATAACTCCCGCTATTTATATACAATTTTGTAGAGCAATAAATTTCTACCTCTCATCACAATAGCCAAAAGGGATAAGTATTGAAGGGTTTCTAAAAATCTTTGAGAAAATGTTACAAGTCATGTTTTGACACCTTCAACTTATGTGTGATAGAGCTAGAAAGATGTTGGCCAACAAAATGAGGGCCACAAAGATGGCATCTACATATTGGAGATGCTTTATGGAAAATGAATAAAAAGAAAGTACATAAACCGAGAATCACTATTTAAGCTGAAAATTAATCACGAAACAATTTCATGTGGGGGTTGAAACATTGTAGCTAGCTAGTTGTATATTTTGCATCACAAGTAATAAATTTAATCAAACCCAAGCTGTAACATTAATTAATTCTACTAAGAACACATTATGATCTCAACTCAACTTGTTTAGTTAATATATTAACCATGACGAGATTTAAGTAAGGAACTCAACTCATCATTTTACTTTTAATTTAATTTAGTTATAATGGAATTTTAAAGTAATACATTAGGTGGATCGTAGAAATGAAATTTGGACATCTCAAAATTTTCTGTGAAAGTCCGATGTTCAGTCGATAAATATCATTTTAAAGTCGTCAAATAAAATACTTTGGCCATATGGGATTTCTAAATCACATGTGACCCCGAATCTCATGTGATCGATTGTTAAAAATTAGCGGGATATGTTAATTCTTTAATCCACAATCCACAACTACGCATTGGGTGGATCTCGTAGAGAATGGTGTACATTTTGAGTGAAACGATGCAAATTGAAGCTTAATTGGGATTTGCAAATGAAAAATAAAAAATTATAGTTGAGTTTGGTAACCGGATAGGTGGAGGCACGACTTGGTCTTGGAAAATACCAGCTGCATTACTCTTGTGTAAATTTGACCTTGTTATGTTGCAATGGTCGTTGTACCTACTTTACCAAATTTAAAAATGGAATTATTCATTTTTGTTGTTATTTTTATTTCGTCTATGAAGACTTTCCAATGTGATAATGTTGTCTCTCACCTTTCATGCCACAATTACATCATGCAAGACACTCAGAATGAAATTCTGTTGACCAAAATAATTAATATTGATACTTTAGGTTTGCATAGTCGTCTACTTTAATTTTGTCTTTTTAAATTTATTGATTTTAGATGTCATTGTAGCACAAAATGGATCTAAAATAGGCACGACATGTGTTAGACAAAATCCCATTGATTAGTTGTATATTCCCTAATTATAGCATAGGAATATTGTATATTATTTCTTTTCTGTAATAGATCTCCTTTATCGCCATATAATGGTTGTGTAATGCTGTAAATATTCATTCAAGGAATATCAAATACTTTTCCATATTCTTTGTCTTTCTAAATTTAATATGGTATCAGAGCAACCCTAGCTCTTGAACCTTCGGTAGCTCCAGATCTTTCTAGCTCCAGATTCTTTCATGGCTCGTGCATTCGGTAGCTCCGGATCTTGCATCTAGCGTTGTCTTTGCAGCAACAGCCCATGAAGTGTGGGAAGATTTTCGTGAGCATTTCGCTCAAGGTAACATACCTAGAATCTATCAAATCCAGAAGGCAATTGCTTCACATACGCAAGTTACATCTATCGTCGCTGCTTACTTCACTAAATTGAAATCTTATTGGGATGAGCTTTCAGTTTACCGTCCTCCTTTAACTAGTAAACACACCGAAGTCCAAGCCATAGAAAAACAAAAGGAGCAAGATCGGTTAATGCAGTTTTTCATGGGACTTAATGACTCTTATAATGTTGTCCGAGGACAACTCCTTATGAAGTCTCTTCCAAATGTGCGTGAAGCATACAATTTTGTCACTCAAGAGGAGAAACAACGAGAAATTGGAAACAATTCAATTGTCAAAAAATTTCAATAGCAGCGGCTGTCCGAAATTTCAAGAATTCCAACAACAAATTTTCCAGTAACTCATTTCTCATTCTTCCTCTAATTCCAACAGTGAGGGATTATTTTGTAGATATTGCAAGAAGGACATGCATAAAATTGAGACATGTCCTAAACTCCATGGGTACCCACCTGTGCACCCACGCCATGACCCAAATTTCAAGTCCAAAGCTCGCCAGCCAAACCAAGGCAATAGTCATAGATAAGGACAACACATGGACCAGCCCCCCACCATGCTTTCCATGCCGTCCATGCAACAACAAATGCCGCTACTTCCTAGTCTACCAATGGCTATAATCCTCACGGCTCCACTCCTATTTTGTCTTCCCATGGGTCTATCAACACCTCTAACAGCCATCCTTTTCAAACTATTAATCTAGGACTCTCCACCGAGTAATATAATCAGTTGACCACTATCATGGCCAATATGGCCCACTTGCCTAGGGGTAATATTGATGCATATGCAAATGCATCAGGTCTGTATAACAATCCCTCTATTCATTCCATTTTTTTTACTGTTGGATTCTAGATAGTTGTGATGTTATGTTAACTCGCAATTGTACGGGCCAATTAGTAGTACAGCAAGACAAGATCAAGGTCGTACTCATGAGGACTGAGAAGTTAAACTTAGTTATGTACTTAGATTACTAAATTCAAGAAAGTAGGAAGTGAAGTCTAAAACATAATTTAAAGTGAGAGTGATTGTGATTGTGATTGTCAAAACAAATGAAGCAAAATGAAATTGTAAACAAAAGCAAAGTAAGCAAATGCAGCAAAGGTGGTTTTGAAGGTTGAAAAATAGATTTGGAGAGTAGGGCATTCGATTCACCATAACAATTCAATTCTAGGTTATAAGGATTCAAGTGACAAGTCTAATTCATATTCAAAGATTGATTCTAGCTAAAGTACGATTAAGCCATGGTGTCTGGTCCTAACCTTGTATTCCTAATTCCCTAATTAGATCATTGTTGTCGAACCTAAATTAAGCATTAGAAATCCATTAAGCATAGAAGAATGTTTTAAACAACCAAGCATGTATCTAATTCCCGTTGTCGAATGTCCATACATACTCTTCCTATTCATAGTTCAATTAGAAATAAAGCATATGGTGTCTACCCTTAATTCCAACCAAGATACACAAATCTGAATGGTAGCTAGGCATTTCGATTAGCATATAGGTAGGTAGGCATAATGAATAAGAACATGAATCATGAATTAAACTTGAAACTTGAAATTTATAAACCCAAAATATTCATGTTAGGTTACATCGAAGCCCTAGTTATGGATTTAGCTACTCATAATGGGAAAGAAACTTAAACAAAAATGAGAAAACATAATGAATGCAATAAGAGTGGAAAAAACCTTTTTTGAAGTTCTTGTGTTGTCCAATGCTTCTCTAAGAGCTTTCCACGTCTAATGCTTCTCCAAGAGCTTCCCCACGTCTAGAAGGATGTATGAAGGATATGCAGGTGATTTTGGATGAGTTTAAGTGAGTGGTGATGGCTAAGAAAGAGGAAATTCGTAGGGAAATGGAAGGAAGGCTTGCTGGAATTGTTTTGGTGATTTGTGGCTATTTAGAGCTTTGGGTTAATTGCTACAGTGTTTGGGGTTGTGGGAGTGTGGAGTGTGAAGGATGAAGTGAAAGATGGATATTGTGGGAGTGTGAATCCCAGGATGTGGAATGGAAGTGGTATTTATAGAGAGAATGAAAGGAGAATTTTGAATTGATTTATGCCTTCATGAACAACACTCACTTCACCAACCTCACCTTACACACCAATGCAATAGAATTCTGAATTGATTTGGCTATTGCACTTCACCAACAAATCCCACCAGAAACCATAGCTCATACATAGCTCATCATGACCAAGCTACAATAAGCTCATCCTTAGGTCAGCATGACTAGCAACTTCATGGGCTCATGAATTGGGGTTCCCTTAAGCAATTGATGACTTTGAGTCGTCCATCTTGAAGTTCAGAATGTCATATTTCCAACCACATGTCATTTGGGCCAATCCAAGGTCGGAGGAAGGAGTTAAGGCTGAAACGAATTGCTAACTCAGTTTGCACGTTTTTGCACCATTTTGCACCTTTTCTTGTCCAAAGCCACCATTGCTACCTAAAGCTTAATAAACTGAATGATAAACACAAAAGAGATTAAAAGCATAAGTTTAATTCAAAAACATAACGAAATCATAAGCTATAAGGGTACAAAATGATATACAATTATGAACCGATCAAATACCCCCAGACCTAGATTTTGCTAGTCCTCGAGCAAAACAAAACAAAATAATGACAAAAATTAAACAAGAAGTTAGCTAGACCACTTTCGCAGGTAACTCGATTGCATTGAACATATGCAACAAGCCTTTAAACCTCTAGGCATCCCTAGTAGGAGGAGTTGCATCTCCTGAGGGTTTAACTGATACGATACCCACAAATGCTTTACCGACTCTATAAAACAAAGTGGTTAGAAAATGCTTTGAAATCAACTAATGAAAATGAAAGAAAACTTTAGTCATACCTCCAAGACCATAGAGTTGTCAAGATAAGTGATCAATCAGTGTGTAAAGTGGAAGCTATAGCTCAAAGGCACATGGCTTCAAAGCAAGCACACTGAAACCTTGAAGAAAGAACATGCTTCAACTCTAATTCTTGCAGATAGCACTCAATCACTCAGAACCTAAGGTTTTACTCTCTCAAGCAAGTATAAGTGAGTGTATGAAATAGAAGCACAAGTTTTGGTTAGATCTCATGAAAGGAATCAAATACTAAGAATAGAGATACACACATACATACCAGCAGCCATGAATACATCCTCAAAGATCAGCTAGGTCTTTCACAAGGTTGTTATAAAAGGCTAAGGTTAGGGGAAATGGAAGAATGGGAAGGAAGAACAAGTAAAACTTAAGAACATACCAAGGTTGCATTCTTCATTGATCTGCAAGGTACCATTGATTTTGAATGGCATGACTGCAAACTTCATGGTATCACCTGGCGTAGACCCTATTTTTCACACCAGATCAAAACACATTCTCTTTAATATTTCTTATTTGCTGATTTGAGCTGCATCTTCTTTAACTTCATTGCACAGATTCACACCAATTTTCATTTAGGTACATGGCAGCAACTTCCTTGCTTTAAACTTTATCTTGGCACACCTTGGTATATTTCTAAGCTATAGGGTATAGCTACAATAGGTTAAATATCTCAGATTGAGATACAAAGGTAGGGGAAATTATGAGGGTGATAGAAGAAAATGGCTTAAAGTGTTTGGCTACAAAAAGGCTGATGGAACACACATATGGGTAGGGTGAAAAGAAAGCACATAGAATGGTTATGCACACATAGCCTAGCATCACTTTAATGAGTTCATGCATGAGTGAGAGCAGGCACATGATATCTGCAAAAGAGAATCATCCTTAGTATTCAATCAAAATGGACAATGAGAGCATTTAGAATGAATTGAAGAAAATAAATAGGGATGAGAAATAGAAACACTTTAGACCCTCTCAAGAAAGCAAATAGGCTCAATATAGCTCACTAAGGTAGTCTCCATTATTCTCCTTCAAGAATTTGAGCATGGTACTTTAGCCACCAGAATTCTAAGAGCAAAAGCTTTTTGAAGTGCAAAAATTCTGATATGAAAACCTCAATGGCAGCTCCATAGCATTGATTGTATGACATTGTAAAAAAAAAAATAGTGACAAAAGAACAAAATTTGAAAACCTTCCCCCCAGACATGAATTGAACATTGTCCTCAATGTTAAAGTATAGTAAAGATGATTGAGAACATGTAAATGATAAAGGGAAAAGCTAAGAAAAGGTTTAGAAAAACTCCCTCTTGATGCAATTAGGTCAACCGCTACCAAGCACCTTCTTCTTGAACACACGGGTTGCCTCCCAAGAAGCGCCTTAGTTAATGTCTTGGCAAGACATTATGCCACTTATGACGAATTGGTTAGTTTTGGATCAATACACTTATGCATAGCAAGATATTTCACCCAACTTCTTCCCCTTTTCCTTCGCTTCCTTTGTTTTTTTTTTTTCCTTTTCTTTATTTGTGTAGGGAGTGCAACATTGAACATTGGGGTGACAATGGATGGTTCCAATTTCGTAGAGAATAGTCCAAGAGGCTCAAGTGATAGCCCAAAAGATGGTGGGCATGGCTGGAACACTTCTAGGGCCGCCACCACTTCTTGAAACTCTAGTTCAACATGATCTTCCTCTTCTTGTGAAATGACAAGTTTTATAGCATCATTGAACTGTTTCTGCAACATCTTGGAAGAAACTTCATCATTCACAACATCAATTGAAAAACAAGTATCAAGAGAGATAGAAGTTTGAGATGGTAGATCAAACACTTTAAATTCAGCAGTTTCACCCAACACAGTCATGGAGAGGGTGCCATCTTTCACATTGATAATTGTGTTTGTAGTGGCCATGAATGGTCGTCCTAAGAGAATGGGTTCAACACGATCTCTGCTTGGGTTGTCCTCCATGTCCATCACTACAAAATCAGCAGGGAGAATAAGTGTATTAACTTGAACTAAATTATCTTCTACAATACCTTTTGGATATTTGATAGAATGATAAGCTAGTTTAAGACGAATTGAAGTTTTCTTCATCCCTCCTAAGCCAAGCTCTTGATAAACTGAATATGGCATTACATTGATGCTTGCTCCCAAGTCCAACATGGCTCTTCCAACCTTCTTGTCTTCAATGTTAATGGGAATGTTAAAACTACCAAGATCTTCTTGTTTTGGTGGAAGCTTGCTTTGCAAAACAACACTTACGTTCTTGTTAAGCTTTACTTCTTCATTTGGAGCAAAAATGAGCTTGTGAGTTTTCAAGTTCTTGATGAACTTTCCATATGCAGGAATTTGTTCAATAACATCAAGCAAATGCAAATTGATATTGACTTTACTCAAAATATCATAAATTTCTTTAAAATCCTTATCTTGCTTTACTCTCTTAAGATGCCCTAGAAATGGAATTGGTGGAACATATGGAGCAGGTGGCACGTATCTATCTTCTTGAAGATGTGGTGGCATGAATTTGTGATCCCTTTTATGCAATTGGAATGGATTGGGTTCCTGAGAATCTGATTTGGCCTTAGGAGCATATTAGGACGTTTTGGGTTGTTGTCCTTCTATAGTTGTGATCTCCCCCACTTCATCTTCATCTTCTACAACCACAACATCATTTGAAAGATTAGAACCAACTTTGTTATCAACAATCTTACCTGATTTAAGCATGTGAATAGCCTTGACTTCGTGGTTCTTTGGATTGATCACGGTTTAACTTGGCCATTTCCTAGACTCTCTTCAAGATATATTTCAGCAGCTATTTGGCCTAATTAGACTTCCAATATGGAGACGTGTTGAGCCTATTCCTAACAACTAAAATGAGTTATTAAAAATAGCAACTTCAATTCTCGCAAGTGCACGAACCATTTATAGTATAGCTTATGAAATACGAGGTCGATCCCACGGAGAATGGTAACTTGGTTGCAAGTTAAACTACTTAGAATGATGGAAAAACTGAAAACAAAGAAACAAACTAACTAACAATTGGCAAGGTCTAGGACAGAATCCTAGCACCACACACGCACTCGAATGGGGGGTTTTTGTTGTTTAAATGAAAACAAGAGAATGAAATGGAAGTGCTGGAAGTAAACAATGGCAGCAATGAACAAGTTGTGAAACAATGATTGAGAAGTGTTAGAGCCTTGGAATCTACCACTAGTCTTCCTATC